CAAGCACCCAAGAGTCACAACTTTTGTCATAAGAAGCCAAAGGGTTTTTCCTCCTTTCAAGCAACCTTGTCAAGAACCCTAACATTCAGTCTTATTGATGATCACATGATGCATGTATCTTTTGTAATAAGGAAAAAAGAATTGTTGAACAGATACCTAAAACAAAGAATAATGCATTGCTTAATATGTTTGATTTCTTCCATAGCCTATAGCCACCATTCTGACTGAGGCTTCCTTTACATTGGGTCTTAAACACTTCTTTGTCTAGAGCTAGTAGTCCCCATGTTGTCACAATACTCCCAAATACAAAATCATATTCTAATGTTAGCTAAACAAAAAACTCAATGTTATTGTTCTCTGTTTTCCATGGGCTCATATTAAGCCCAGCTTTTTTTCTCCTATTTAAATGCAAGAGCAGCCTTTTGACTTTTATCCACTATCCACACTTCAGATACAGTATTAGGTTTGAGATATTTTTCAGAATTGTGATCTCTTATTTATGTAGATATGTCCTGGGGTAGCACTATCAGAAAAAAGAAAAGTGGCTTTGGAATATGTAGTAACATGAGAATAGAAAACTCTTTGTTATCTGTTCTTGCTTGCCCATAGGACTATGGACAATGGAGAACACCATGAGAGCTTGTCACCTCCGGTATAAAAAATGTCTATTTTGGGCCAGGGATTTGGCTAGTGGAACGGCTCCTGCCTCACAAGCACAAGGTTCTGAATTTGATCCCCAGTACTGAAAAAAAAAAGTCTATTTGTCCATTTATTGATGACTCTTTATACAGTTACCTTATAATAAACTGCATTGCTATCCTAACATCTTCAGCATGAAAATGCTTTGGTTTTCACTGCAGTCACAGCAACTACCATTTTCCCTTTCTTGGTCCAACTAATTGCTTCTAAAAACCATTCTTTTTGTTAGCTGGCTCCTATATTTGGCCTCAGATTCTGGATTAAACAGAATCAAATAAACAAAAACAGACTTGCTGCTTAATAGATTGTCTCTTCTTCCCAATGTGATTGGGACCAGTGATCTCCATCTTGCTTTCTTGTTCCTTAGAATGAGAAAGGTAGACAAAAGAGATGATAGTAAACAGATAAACAGTTGATTTCCTTCTAATTCTTCTAATGAGTCTATTTTTTCTTATTTTCAATATCTGCCAATCCTGTATTTAGGAAGTCCAGTAAAGGTACAAAAGATTGTTTATTGTCATTGTGATGACCACTTATAGGTGTTAGATTTATTCATATGGATGAATTAAAGTTGCCTAAATAAATTTTTAGGGAATTTTACATATTTCTTTTCAATATCTCCTACATTGATACAGACTCAGGGGGTGAAGGATTAAAAAATTATTTAAAATCTCTTCATAAGATTTGGAGTAAACACTTCTATTAAAAATGAGAAGGAAATAAAGTTTGTGGTTTATACTCTAAAGAAATTATATAGATAATCACAGCACTCTGGGAAGCTGAGGCAGAAGGATTACAAATTTGAGCCCAAACTGGGCACTTTAGTGATTTAGATCACTTAGAGAGAACCTGCTATTTAAAAAAAAGAAAAAAGTAGTGGTGATGTAGCTCATTATAAAGGACCTGAGTTCAATCCCCAGTACTGCAAAAAAAAAAAAGGTAAGTATATAAAGGTTATTCATTTATTAATGCTTCACATTACATAAAAATAGTGTGGGATATAAGATATAGAAGCATAAGGCTGAAAAATGACAAAGAGTTATGCAGAAATCACTCTCAAATAATTAATGTCTTACCCTTAGATCTCATGAGCATGAGAAATACAGGTAGTAAAAAGATGAGAAAAAAAATGAAAAAAATAAAAGATGAGGGCTTTCTCCCCATAAAATATTAATAAATACAACTTAAAACTGATAGAACAAAAACTCCCATTATAGGACATTCATATATTTACAAAGTGGTAGGGAAGAATTTCCAAGGCTTTGTACTTATGACAAAAAATATACTAATAATCTCTGATAAGAACCTCTAAATCAGAAATTAGACATACATTATGATTCATCAGAGAAAATTTGTACTTGATCTCAGTAAGAGGGGTCAAATCAAGTCCTACTTATATCCCACACCATGTTAAAGTGTCAAGTGTCTTTAGTCTTGGGTCCATGCTTCCCACTGCAATGGAAATGAATGTGCAAACACAGTGGGAATGATAGCAACCCCTCTGTCAAGAAAGAAGCATCTATCAGAATAAAACTAGCTGCTACATTTTTTGTCTTAGTGCTCTAGTCATTGAATCAAATAGACCTTCTTTCTTCTGATAGAGGAGTTGCCACAATGTACCTTCTTTGCTTACAAGTGTGTAAAGACTACATTATTGTAAATTAAAAATCATGCTTGCTGGGCCAGAGATTTAGCTCAGTGGTTCCAGCACCTGCCTCACAAGTGCAAGGTCCTGAGTTCGATCTCTGGTACAACAACAACAACAACAACAACAACAAACATGCTTCCTAGTGCTGGTTTTGGTATGCTGCCTATGCTGGAATAAGTCAAGTGTACTGTTTATCTATTGGCTACTACTATTCTAGACATTAAGCCAAAAAGTAGTCTATGTGGTAGGATGTATCTATAATTAACCTAGGCTGCATTCAAAATATCTGTATCAAAGAACATAATGTACTTAAGTTTTTGTACTTCATGATTTTTAAAGAACTATCATAGGAGATCTGGATCATGCTTTCATTGCTACATCACCTCAAAACACATATTCTTGTCTATAAGGTGAAGTACAACATAAAAGGGAAATTTCTGAGTGTAAATAATACTGGCAAGTAATTGTTACAAAGTATAGAGTCAAAACATTAAGGAGCCAAATTTTATTTTAAATCTTTAAAATATATTAATAAAGCACTGCTAATTATCAAACTTTAACAACAAGCAATAGCTATTCAAGCTGTTTCACACATCACATGGCTCTAGACTACTAGACCTATTGAAGGACTGTGCATCCCCATTAGAAAGAATGCTAACACAAACATTCATGAACCAGGGATAACAATTACAACAGAATAAACTTTGATGTTTGAGTTCCCAAAGAAACTGGCAAGAGAGATTGTATAATATATGAAAAGAAATATAAGGCTTATAAGTAGCTTATGTACAAACAGTGCTTATAAAAGGTGGGTGCCAAATACTGTTAAGAAATACCCTAAGTCTTGCTTTATCAAGGTGGTATAAAATGTATCTAGAAATAGAACTTGGGATTTATGGGAAAAGTAACACAGCAGTACAGTGGAGATAAGATGATGATTTTCTTTAAAGAATAATAAATGGTGCTAAATGAATTATCTAGGCAGGAAAAAATAGTTGAACTGCTACCTCACAACATACACAAAACTAAATTTCACAGGGCTGGGGATTTAGCTCAGTGGTTCTGACACCCAGCTCGTTAAGTGCAAGGTCCTGAGTTCAATACCAAAAAAAGAAAAAAAGTGAATGAAGTTTCATGAATTCACCTCAACAATTTTTTTTTTCAGAATTAGTGTCTTAGTTTTCCATTGCCATGACAAAATAACTAAGAAAATCAACTTAAAAGGAGACAAAATTTATTTTGGCTCATGGTTTCCAGAGGTTTCAATCCATGCTTATTTGGCCCATTGCTTTGGGCCTGTGATGAGGCAGAACATTATGATAAAGAGTACATGGTGCAGCAAAGCCATTCAGCTCATGGAGGCCAGGAACCAAAGAGAAGAAGGAGCTAGGGTCCTAATATACTCTTCAAGGGTACATCCCCAATAACATACTTCTTTCTTCTAGGCCCCTCTCCTAAAGTAGCCATCATTTCCCAATAGCTTCATCAGCTGAGGACAAGGCTTTCAACACTTTAGCTTTTGGCGCTATTTAAGATCCAAACAATAAAAGTTGGGAATATAACTCAGTGGCATTTGAAAGGCTCTGGTTTTGATCCCCAGTACACCAAAAAAAAAAAAAAAAAAATCCAATACATTGCAGATTTAACCATAAAACGTAAAAGACAAGAAAACACAGAACACTTTGGTGGCCACAGAATGGGCAATGATTTCCTTAAAAGTACACACAAAGATATACACGCAGAAAAATACTAGCTCTAAAATCTAAAAACTAAACAAATTGTATTATTAAAGTTCACCCTTGGTGTCAAAAATCACCATTAGGAAAAAAAAACCCAACTAGTATAAAAGGATAGTCATTATAAATATATCTGACAAGTCTAGCCTCTTAAATATTAGCGTGAAAAAAACACAACCCAAGAGAAAAACGAGCAAAAGACTTGAGCAAAAGAGGGTATACAATAGCTAATAAACCTGTAAAAAGGTGCACAGCTTTAGTAATCATCAGGGACATACAAAATAAAACCACCATGTGGCATCTCTACCACATACAAGAAAGGCTAAATTTAAAAAAAAAAAAAAATTTAAAGTAGGGGAACACTCGATGTGGAGCAATCACTTAAAAAGCTGCTTAGCAATATTTATAAAAGTTGAACATCCTTATATTCTCTGATTCAGTAATTCTAGTTCTAAATAAATATGCATGCATCAACAAAACACATTCTAAAATGTTCAGGTATATTCAACTGGAAATATGTAACACAAATGGCTATCAACTGTAGAATGGATAAATGCACTGTAATATATTTAGGCAATGGATTATCAAATAAGAAGGAGTATAACGAACTCTCAATTATACACAAAGTGGCTGAAATTTACTTACAGCAAATGGAAACAAGCAAAAAAAAAAAAAAAAAACCAAAAACCTTGACCCAAAAAGAATGCATTTAAGTCTGTTAGAAGTCTAATGATAGTTACTCTTCGGACATGGAGGGTGATGAGTACTAGAAGGTGACAGAGGAGGGCTGTTGGGGTGCAGGCAATATTCTGGTTCTTCATCATAAATTCTTTCTCCAAGCCCCCTAAGCAAGGTGAGCACTGGCGCAAGGAAGTGGAGACCTCATTGGCTGGGACCAGCACACTTCCGGAAGCGGCGCTTAGCCCCCGCTTCTTCCGCTTTCTGCCAGCCAGCCTGTCTTCCCGCCATCCGGCCGGCCAGCCAAGTGCACCGCGATTTTGGCTGCCTGGACTCCATTCCCCGAGACAGACAGACTGTGTCCCTCGCACTCGGGGACAGTCTCTCTCTGGCTCGCAGCCTGCAGGGCAGCTGCCTGCTCACCGCCATTATGAACATCCGTAGTGCCCGGCCAGATGACCTGATGAACATGCAGCACTGCAACCTTCTCTGCTTGCCTGAGAACTACCAGATGAAGTACTATTTGTACCACGGCCTCTCCTGGCCACAGCTGTCCTACATCGCCGAGGACGAGGATGGCAAGGTCGTCGGCTATGTCCTGGCCAAAATGGAGGAGGACCCTGATGAAGTCGCTCACGGGCACATCACCTCGCTGGCAGTGAAGCGCTCACACCGGCGCCTCGGCCTGGCGCAGAAGCTGATGGACCAGGCCTCACGGGCCATGGTGGAGAACTTCAGTGCCAGGTACATGTCCCTGCACGTCCGGAAGAGTAATCGGGCGGCCTTGCACCTCTACTCTCACACCCTCAACTTCCAGGTCAATGAGGTGGAGCCCAGATACTATGCAGATGGGGAAGATGCTTATGCAATGAGGCATGATCTCTCGCAGATGGCCAGTGAGCTGAGACGGCAGCTGGAGATGAAGAAGGGCAGGCATTTGGTACTGGGCTCCAGGGAGAACCAGGAGACCCATAGTGACACATTTCCTGGTTCCGAGAAGTCCTGCCAGCAGGACAGCCCATCTGCCACAGATAGTGGCAGTGACACCATGGAACCCAGTGAATCCACAGAGAGCGCCGATGTCCAGGACAGCTCAGAAGACTTGAATTCCATCTCCTAGAGTCTGCTTGAGGTATTGTCTTTTCCCTGGCCAGAGTCCTTCCCTATCCTAAATCCTTGCACCCACCGTGGCCAGCCCCATCACCTCTTATCCTATCCCATTTGAGACCTGGAAGGTTTCACAGTGAAACCGCCTGGTGAGATATAGAGGGAGGGTGTAGGATAGGTTGGGTGAGGAGTCTCTTTGCTCACTACTGGAAATCCATAGAACATTAACTCATGCTGAAAGTACGTTAAATTTAGTAAAGGAAACAAACATTTATCCTGATATTTTGCTGTGAGTTATATTTCATAGTAACCATGTGAAGAAATTTCTTCTAATAAGAAATGAGAAAAGATAGAAAGTTATAAAATCACCATTTTGCAACTCTTGATGAAATAATGGATCTAGCCAATAGTCATTAGTAACTAATACTATTAGGTGAAAGTTGTGGCACTTCATGATGATGGACAGACTGACAACACTGAGGTCAGTTGTCAGTATTAACATCATTAAAAGTGGAGTCATATATTATGGACCTCTTAATGCAATAGAAAGTATATAGTATCACCTATGAAGTATTCTTACCAAAAGAAATTATGCATGTGTGAGAGATCTACCTACCGTTTTTACAGAAAACAAAAACATGTTAAACTGTACCATGATGCAATCAACCAAATTCAGAATGAGGGAATTTTTTATTTTTGGTACCGGGGGATCAAACTCGGGACCTTACGCTTGCGAGGCAGGCAGTGGAACCACTGAGCTAAATTCAGAATGAGGGAATTCCTACAGAATAAATGACCTAGTTTCTTCAACTATAAGGAGCATTTAAAAAAAGGAGAAAGAATTTTCTATTAAACTTTAAACAATATCAACCAAATTAAATTATGAAGAATGTTGTTTGGATTGTAATTTTTTAAAAAGTATAAGACAGTTTTGAGAAAAGCCAAATTTGAACATGGCCTGTATTCTATTAAGGAATTATTAATAATTTTGTTAGGTGTGCTAAATGATATTTGTATTATGTTACAAAAACATCTTTATCCTTTAGAGATACATTCTAAAATAATTCTAGAATTTGTTAAATTGCTCTAGCAAAAAAGTTGGAAGAGGGCAAATAAAATAAGAATAGCAACATATAATTGTTGGAAGTGAGAAATAGGTACTGAAGCGGTTTCTTATACTAGTCTTTTGTCTTTTGAATGTGTTGCAATTAAAGTGCAAAATAATTGTTGTGCCTCCTAAACACATTAATACTAAGAAGCCACCGAAAAGTAGTTTTAAAAAACTAACTCAAGTATAATAATATAATAGCAACATTTTTCCCATCAGAGAACTTTATATCATCTTAAGAATTTTAAGGGTCAGTGAGCTGTCAGTAATTTAGAATCTTCAACTTCTTATTCTAAACACCTTGCCCTCCATATACAAAAGACAACAGCTTTCTCATGATGAAGTCCAATGTGAGTAATGTACACTACATATAATTAAAATGAATGAAACTTGATCAATTTACTCATTCATAAAAATTCTTATTTGTCAGCCAGTAGTTTTACAGCTCAGTATACAGCAGTGATCAAGATAGACTGTTATTTATATCATACAGAATTTAAGTATAATTTTTTTGCATTTTAATGTTGAGACCCAACCTACAAAGTACATTAACCTTATTTTATTTTCATTCATTTATATTTCCATAGGTTAATAAAAGTTGGATACACTAAATCCTTGGGGGTTAGGAAAAACTCTGTCCTCAGAGGAATCTTTGCATCTTGACTTTTAACCTGAAGATTTCACAATGACTGATTCATCTGATTTAAGGTTAGAGTAAGGGCAGCAAAATTGTCTACACAAAAAGATAAAATTAAGCAAAACTTAATACCTTGAGAGAGGCATTGTTAAATGGATTCCTGTTTTATTTTGGGTTTGTGTTGTGGTACCAGGCAGGGATTGAACACAGGGCCTCATGCATCCTAGGGCAAGTGCTGTAGGCTTGAACTTGTGATCCCCCTGCCTCAGCCTATCAAATAGCTGGAACTACAAATGTGTACTGCCATGCCCAACAAATTTATACTTGTTTTGAAAACCCTGGAGGGCTCTATCAATAGTTTTTTTATTTAAATCAACAGACCACTGAAAAAAATTACCAATTTTCCAGTTCTAATATAGAAGAACTTACACAATACATATAGTATTGATCTCATCTTTGAGGCTGTTTATCTTCAGTGTTAAACTCTAGCCAAGCACAGAGTTCATAAGAGATTGCTTTAAAGCCATGTATATGTATATAAAATTTGATGAATTCAAAACCACTTAGCATCTGCTCTGAGAAACAAAAATAACTGTCATTCTAGTAGGAAAGAAATAATAAATAAGAAAATAAATTACTGTGTAGCAGTTATAAAATCTCTGTAGAAATTCAAAATTTAAAAATAATATGTTTCATTATATTACTGTACTTGACATTTATTTCTAAGTTGAAGGAGCTGTTTGCTGGCTTCACCTTCTTCCCAAGTTGGTATCTCATGAGACATTTTCAGTGTCCCCCCATCTGATCTTTGGTCCTCACTCTTCTGAATCTTTCCAGCCAAAGGCCTCTTGGGAATTATCTGATGTATTTGGGCCATTTTGATAGCAGGGTATTTTAATCTGCACTAACTGCTTAAAAAAATAACCTCCAAATCTCAGTAACTTCACACATTAAAATTTGCTTTTCGTAATGCAGGCCAGCATTGTGGGGTTGTGGGGCAGAGAGGGAGAAGCTCCACTCATAAAGTCATGCAGGGCTCCATCTAGAAGAGGTATTTGTGAGTTTTGTTCTGTAGCCCCTTGGGCAATCTGATGGAGCCTAGAGAGATCTCAGAAAAATGTTTTCTGAAGACAAAAATCAGATGGGATTATAAAAGAAAGCAATTTTATTGAGATACTTATCAAACTTTTACAAATATCTTTGTTATAGTAATATATATGCTTTATTAGTATTTATTATTTATATTTATTAGTATATGAAATTTTAAAATCTAGTAATGGGTCTAATGGTTGCAATTATTTCTAAGTAAGTTTGAGAGTAACTGATAGTGTATGAACATACTGTGATTTTTTTTTCCCTTGTTAACAAAGTCACAACTATTGTTACACTACTGTGCGTTAATGCCTACATTTATAATTGAAAGAAATACTGAATTTCAGTTCCTAATTTAGTGACTGCTGTTTTCTAGAATCATGTGACTCCTACTGCACATAGGTTAAGTAGGGGATAAGAGAAGAAAGTGCACAGAGTTTTTCATATAGGTTTTAACTCAGAGCAGGCCAGGAAATGTTAGATAGCTTAGTGGCCAGGGGGGAAAGGAAGAAGTTCTGGCAGTTGCACAGCGTAGTTTCTGCCACAACAGGAAACATCCTAATGATGCTCTCAACTGTGGGAAGCTCTGCCTCCATGCTCTGTGAGGAACATGGGGTCCTTTTGCTGCCCCTCTAGGACAGTGGTGGCGAAGCTGTGGCACGCATGCCACAGCGGGCTGTTTGTATCACTGAAAGCTCTAAAAGGTTCACCATCACTGCTCTAGGATATGACACAAGGAAGATTGTGAGGCCATCCACAGTTGTCTTCAAAAATACATGACATGCATTTCCTCTGGTCTTATACAAACTGGAGCATAGAAAATTATGGGATTCTGCTGTCAAGTCTCTCATTAAAGCCGTGAAGAAATGACCCCTCTACTCCAAAATCTCCCAAAGTGAAGCTTCACTTCTATCCAATTCAACATGGAGTCCCAGCCCATAGACTAGCTGCGTGAATGGGAAAAGGCAAAGGTGAAGAAAGAAAGAAAACAGGGAAAAAAGAAAAAGAGTCATACTACAAAAGTATTATCCCACCACAACTGTGGTGCTCTGTCCTGTGAAACTAGAGTTCAAATATGTATAGAAAAATATCCTGAAAGGAGTAATTTTTTCATTTTCCCTTATCTCCACTTCTGGGTCTAGGCAACAGAGACAGGTAAAGGATAAAAAGGATAGTGAGCAGGTCAGTCTATGGGAAAGAATTGGTATCTCATCTATAAAATAGTAATAAAAATTATTGCTAACGTGAAACTATGTGGCAGTTACTGTTCTAAAGACTGGGAACTATCATTTAGTCCTCGTGATATCCCTGTAAGGTAGGGACTTTTACTCCACAGATGAGGAAGTCATGTCAGAGAGGGCTAGTGCCTAGGTAGAAGTGAAAAACAGTGATTCACACTCAGTAGTCAGACTACACAATTCCTGTAAATTGCTAACCACAATTAATCATAAAATTTATATGTTCTAGCTCTAATAACTATTCAGTTTCCTTTCTTCTTTACAGTGGTAGAATGTGGTGTGTGTGCAGCAACAGTTTGCAGTCTTGGAAGGGAGATGCATCTTAAAGATTAAAATAGCTTTCACTGACAAGCTGAATGTCAAAGCATTCATCAGCAGCAAAGTTTCTAGGGAACCGTAGCAGTGAAGACAGGTCAGTTCAAAACATGCTGGTTGAGGTAGGAATGCCATCAAACTGTTGCTCATCTCCTGACACGAAATATGTGCATGATGATTAATAACAGAAAAGAAAAAAATGCAAAATCTTAGCATTTTCCGTTGAGCTGGCAGTATTGACTTAACTAAGGTTACATTAGTGACTCCCTCTCTCTGGTTTATTCTTTCTGCCGTTAAGCTGTCATTCTAACAAAAAGTTGTTAAATGTTCACATGAGCATTCACTGAAATAGACTGTTCTTAATTTTACCAGACAACTAATTATAACTGGAATGATATAATGAATTATGGAAGAAAGTTAGAGACTGACAGATCTGGTAAATTCCTAGTATAACCTTACCCCAGATATGCCAGAAACCATAGATTTCAAATTCAACTGTACTCTATGAAGATAAAGAGGGGGTTGGGAAGAAATAAAATATTGTTTTGAAATACTAATCAGATAGATTCCATTTGTTGAATTATAATATCTAACAATGTCACCTTTCAGTCAGTGTGTGATGTACATTTAGGATGACTATAATACCAAATTTTCAGAGGTAGCTGATAAAAGCAGGTTTTTCCTAAATCTCTCTGTGTACGCTCCCTGTGCTCCAATATATAAATCTCATGTACTTCATGGTGAAAGAAGTAAGGAAAATAAGACATAAAAAATTCTGTGAATTGATAATGATTCAAAGATCCATAGTAAAAGCCATTTTGAAAATATTCTGCAATGCCTTTTCTATAATGTCTTCAGAATATCATAGGATATTTTTTAAAAGTAAAGCCCTAAAATTGTCTTTTGTGTTCATAAGGTCATGTTAACAATTAATGTGTATCCTTCAGGGTTCCATAGCCCACCATACACCATAATAGGTATATCAGGTTCTTCTCCAGATACACCAAAAGAAATTATGACTTACAGAAAGGGACCTGTTGCATTTAACATATCAAGAGATAAGAAGCCCTTCCATTTCTTTAGAGTTGATGTTTCTTTTGAGTGACATAGGATGGAGTGGAATTTAAGATGGCAAATAAAAGTAGCAGTTTCATCAGATTTAAAGTAGTTTCTTTAGAGCAGATCTCCGTCTTTCAGGGTCCCTCTACACACTCTCCCCCTGCCTTTCTCCTAAAGGCAGAAATGGCTTTTGGACATCAGGAGATGTTCATGTGTCCCAATGGCAGGAAGGGAAGAGAACCTCAGGTCTGTGTGGATCTTTGTGTTGTCATCTGAATTCTCACTGATTTCCATTGAGATATATCTAGTCCGAAGTAGTTACTGGGTGCCTCATAGGTCTGAAGCTGAAGTCTGTTATTGGTCAAACCATTATTCTTCCATAGCTTCTTCTAGAGCTTGTTTTCCTCCCTTTCTCATTTACTCTCTTTTTACTTCTCAACAGCATTGTAGGTCCTCGTATCAGCCACATCTACCGTGATCCTAGGCTGGTGCAACATCTGCTCTCAGGTCATCTCCCAGTGACCCAGGTGGCTTCTCATTTTCAGCCCTCAACAACAGTCTTCCACATACCCTACTGGGATCAGGAAGAAATACCTTGACACCAGAGTCTGCTGTGCAAGAGCCAAGGAAGCTTGAAGCCTGCCATCAAAGCCTTGGCCTACTCACACCCTGCTGCCTTTGTATCTGTTTGTAGCAGTCCTACATTGAGTATGTTCCTGCAAGTTTGTCTCCTAAAATGCCAAACAGGAAGCCAAGAAAACTCTTGAAGCTCTCCAGCTTTCAGTTTTTGTTTTTGTTTTTTTTTTTTGCTTAAATTCTTTTATTGGTGTATTTTTGGTATACAATACGTTTTCATTTCTCATTGGGTGCTTGTATCTGTACATGTAATATCTCGGTTCTTATTTTTTCCCCATTACCTGTGCACACTTCCCCCACTCCACCCTTCCCTATTTACAAAGACTTTGTTTCCATTTTTTTTCTTTTCTCATAATTTTTCCCTTCATCCTTGAGAGGGTAGTCAGGACCATCAAGTTAGACTTCATAACTCCTTCCCCTCATTTCTGGTAGAAGTATCTCATTCCTCTTCCTGACTCGAGTCCTCCCTCTTTGTCCTAAACTCCCTTTTAAGGGGGTATTGTCCCCTTCCCAGTGGGAGAAGGTGATAAGTAAGGGTTTCTACTTTACAAGCGGAATTTGGAGATTTTACGGAAAGGGTGATCTGTAATTAGAATCTCTAATCTGCCTGTGTTAATTTTTTTTGGTTTTTGTTGTAATGATGTACCTTGATATTTATTGAGAATCTATAGTATTCATTTACATTACTATGGCATTTGCTAACAAGGTATTTAATCTTATTAGCAACTCTGAGGTAGACATTTATTATTCTTGTTTTACAGCTGAGGAAACAAATATCTAGGATCTAAACCCAAATCTGTTTGAATTCAAAGCAAAGTTCCTTCTACTTTCCTATTGCTGTTTGTATTTTACTTACAAAAATGTTAAAACTTCAACAAAAAGGGGAATCTGTTTATATTAAATGTTGGGTTAATGTACAACTAATATGTCAATTGTAAATATGTATATAACCTTCAGCTACAATTCCCTTTCCATAACTCTTTAGTAAAAATAAGTAAAAACAAAGTGCTTTGACCTCTGAAGTGAGTCACTCAATAAATCCATTGCTGTCATTATTTCATGTTGTTTATATGTTTGCTGAATGTGAATTACCAAAGTATATAATATTTTTCGTGTTTAAGTTTTTATGAAAACTGTCATATATGGATTTAAGTCTAAGCCCTGACATTAACCGCCTGATGACGAGAGGTAAGTGTTCTCTGTAATCATAATCAGCCCTGGTAAGTACTTCTTACAGATCTACCCAGTGTACTCTGGGAATGTCTGTCTAATGGTAAATGATTGCCTGAGGCAGATATAAAAGTGGGTTTTTTCCTGCCTAAGAGCCATTTGCCATTTTATGTGCCAATACAGACCTCTCATCGGCCTTTTCATCATTCCTTTTTTCTTTTTAATTTTCTCCCTTACCTGTGAAACTATTTTATTCATTCCCCTCAAGTGTATGTTTATCTCTTTGTTTTTAAATATTACAGCTTTCTAACATCTGTCTCTAGGGCAGCATAATCTTACTGATGAAATATTCCATGTTTTCCTTGAGCCCTCGTCAATATGTCTTCATGTTAACAGCTCAGCAGATGGAGAAACAGAAGGGGTAGCCTCAGCTTACCTGAGTGATTTCTCTCCAGCACGAGGCATATTGACTGTCTCTAGTAACTTGATGAGGAGTTGGAACAATTGGGAAATAAGAAAGGATGTCTGACTTTTGTAGTATTATTTCCTAAAACTGTTGGCTGCTTTTCTTTGTTACTAGGAGATAATAGAATTTTAACAGCCTACCTATTTGGGCTTTGCCTGTTTAAATAAAGTAAAATAAACAGTAATAATAATATTGTTTGGGACATACATTAGCATGTTCTCAAGTGGTTTGATAATAACTTGTAATTTAGCAGCAGCGGTGGCTTTTTGCAACACTGAAATTGTAGGAGCCTCTGGGACTGCTTTTTGTAATAGCATTGTTCTTTTTACACAGGACAAATTGTTTTTTTCTGAATGAGCTGCTTGCTTTTTCCATAACCATAATCCTTAAGAGACCAAAGGATATAGAGCAGCTACATGTGCAACTGAATGGGTGAGCGTCCATCAGCAAATTTTCAAAGATAATAATTGCCATCCAGCACACTGTTTTCCTTGGTTGAAAGAGAGAAACTTGTGAATGAAGCTTGTGAATTACCTAGTTAGAGTCTGTGTGGTTTTTTCTCTTTGGAGGAAAGAGCAAGAAGCAAGAGATGATTATTTCAAATAAAAATAACAAGGTAGTTGGATGAGAGGGAGAGGTGGAGAAGAATAGTGAAAATTAGACCAAAGCTGAAAAGCTATGGAGAGGATCATGAAATAAAGCAAGTTTTCTCCAATGTTTATGTGCAACTAAGTAATTTCAGAGCTATGTTTAAAATGCAGGTTTTGTTTCAGTAGGTCTAGGGTGAGGCTTGCGTGTGTACCTTTCTAATTAATTACACAGTGCTGATACTGCTGGTCCAGAAAGTACACTTTGACTAGTAAGGGTCTTAAAACTCATCTCTGACATTGGCAATGCAATTTAAAACACCAGTGTCCAGGCTTTATGTTGCTTGAATTAGACCCTAAATAATTCAGAATCCCATTCCTAAATATATACTCACATAAATCCTATTTGTAACAAATTGCAGACATTTAATGTGTATAATAAAAATGTTTATGTATACAATGTAAAATCTATTGATAATCAACATTACCTCTTAGTATACATTAAGGAATTAATTTTTCTTCATCATTGGTTGATAAATTACTCCAGATTCTACAATTATTTTCATTCTAACATTTGACAGATTTGAAAAGGATTTTTTTTTTTTTTTTGGTACCGGGGATCAAACTCGGTTCCTTGTGCTTCCGAGACAGGCGGTGGAACCACTGAGTTAAATCCCTGGCCCAAAGATTTTTTTTTAAGAGTAACAGACCTGTGCATGGGTAAACATGGTATGGGAAACACTTCAAGAGACATTGCTCATTCAAAAAGAACAATTTCTATTTCAGTGTGTCTTAAAGTATAGTTCATATGCCTATTTCATTAGAGTCAGCCAAGAGCTATGTTAAAAATGGAGCTGCTCCGCTCAAGATTTATAAAATCAGAGTGCTATATTTTAACCAGCTCCAGCTTATTGTTTTTCACAGTGTCATCTGAAAAACCCTGATTATTACAAGGTACTGAAATCATGAAAATAATTTAATGAGAGCTTTTTCCATTGGTAGTACTGTCAGATTTAAGTTATTTCAAAAAAAGCAAAGGACTCAGCTGATACAACATTTCTGTGATAAAAATGGGAGAGATTGAGGAGGTGAATGGGGACTTTTCTACAAACCTAAAATTTAAAACAATTTTACATAAGTATAAACATTTGATACATATGATTTACACATATTTACGTAAATGTGGTTTTTCTCATGTGTCCTTTTTGGGGATTTTCTTTTGGGGGGCGTGGTCATTAGTACCCACTTCCACAATCTTTTTCAAACCAAAAATACTTACATCTTGGCCTTGGTGGTGTGTAGAATAAGCCCAAAGATTGAGAACACTCACATATAAATCACACTATGAAATTTTCCTAATGTGTTTCCAAGACAAAAATTCAAATTCTGCAGTGTCTCTTTAGGAAGCAGACACCTAGCAAGTCTAAGACCACAGGTTCATCTTGTGTGTTGCTAAGCTCTTTGTGTCCCATCACCAGCTGGGAATTGTGTTTGGACATTTACTAACACAGTACCTAGCCAAAGCCAGTGAAACAGCCTGAATGACTTATCAAGGTCCTTCTTTATACTTTTTCCTAGACATGAATGCTTCCTTGAAATCTTGAAAGACACAGATCATTTCCTTGAGGTTCACTTGAAGGGTTATTTAAACACTATGTTTCTTTATGTGAGCATAGGAATTACATTTTGTGAAGTTCTGAAAAAAAAATCCTTTCATTATAAATCATATATATATTGCTTTTCTAACCAAAATTATGATAGATTTTCCACTTTTAGAATGGGGTCATCACCTCAATGCATATTATAAAAGCTTACCTAGAGAATACAGCTCTTCCCAAGTTGAGCAATTTTCATGAGACGGTTTAATAAAGTGGGAAATCACAGATATCAGAGTCCAGCGGCTTAAATTTTAGTCTTAGTTTGGCTTATTACTACCTGGATATGCTCTGGCACATCAATTTTCTCACAGAGACAAAAAATAACTTCCATGCCCTTGGGTTATTGTGTAATGAAGTAGTATAAGAAAACTGCATTGTAATTTGTTAAAAGACACGTACATGTTATTGCTAACATTTTGTACATTCAGAGGTTTTGTCCACAAATTTAAACTGGTGAAAAATAACTGATCATTTTCTTTTTCCTCCTTGGTGATATAGAAAAAAAAATCAGGGAATTTATCATCAAAACAATAATTATGTCTTCAACAAATGTGTACATGTATGTGGATATTTTAAGGGATGAAATATGAAGAAAGGAGTACATTACTATAAATGTACAAATCAACTCTATATTGTCCATTTAAAAAGATGGTTTATTGAAAGTTGTTTATCTCTTACTGTCTATAACAGCATTCATATTAAAGTTGACTATTGAATAATGGATATTATAAAGAATTTTAATTTGTGTAGGAAGTTTCTAGGAAACAACTATTTTCACTTGTTCCTTTGGCACCCAGGACATTATTGCATCCTGGACACTGTGCCTTAAGTTTCCTGGTGGGTGAGAAGCTTCGCTTTGTTAAGTGGCAGAAAGATTAGTGTGAAGGGAAGATGAGGAAAACAGCACCATAGAAGTGCACCTATGCAAATCATTTTAGGGAAGTGTACCATGGAATGTGAGGACATAGAATCTTAGTCCCTTAAAATTATCACCTGTAATCCCAGCACACTAAAAGGGTGAGGCAGAAGAATCAAACATTGAAGTCCAACCTGTCCAACTTGGTGACTGAGATCCTGTTTCAAAGAAGGGCTGGAGACGTCGCTGAATGCAAAGGCCCTAGGTTCAACCCGTAGTACTGAAAAACAAACAAAAAGCATATCCATGTGTGTATATCCCTGAAAAACATCTATGATATAATTTCCAACATTTCATACATGTTATTTAATTTTATTCTCTTCCTTATAATTAATTAGGGTGGTGGGAAGCAGGTAACTTTAAATGCATGAAGCATCTAAGGTTAAAGCACCACAACTTTTGTTTGGCTAAGTGATTAGCCTCTTTGCCTCAACTGTATTAAGTTAATGGAGTTAATCAGTGGTAAAATAGGGTGATTAAACTTATTCATTCTAGGCTTCATCTAAAGTTATACACTGAGGCACCTGCTTTACGGATATTCAAGTAATTGCATATACCATGCTTTATTAATGTGGCAATCCTAGCAAAACTAACTCTTTGGCAGGCTAAAAGGAACACCATGAAATAACCTGAAATAGTCATTTGTTAGTGATGATAGAAATCTTAATTCAGAGTTATAAAATCATGAAGAGGAATGGAGGAAATAATTAGCTGTTAGATGGCCAAAGATTGTTTATAAAATCTCCATTGGATCCTCTGTCAATTATCAAAAAAGTGTAGATTTTTATCACTAGGAATTTTATTTGAATAATAAAGCCATATTTCTATATAGATTTTGGTATGCTAGTACAATTTTGATTAGAAAACATTTGAGTCAGTTTACTAAAAAACAAGAATTTCCTGTCTTTAATAAGGAAAAAGCATAAAGTGGCTTACCTTAGAGTGTAAAGCTTTTAGAATCACCCTGTAATTTATGGCTTATCCCTGAGAAGTCATAGCTTTATAAATAATAAACCTTTTTCAGGACATGGTACACACGGTTTTATGTCAGATAAGGCTAGGCTAAGTCAGGAACATAAATGAATTGTTTACTCATCCCTGATACCCAATATTCTATTACTCTCTTCTGCTACTCCTTCCTGGCTGAACCTAGAATGCCTTCAAA